AAATATCGATGGACTTTATAACTAAGTTACCCCGAACTGGAAAAGGGCATGATGCCATTTGGGTGATTGTAGATCGATTGACGAAATCTGCTCATTTCTTACCAATACAAGAGGATTATAAGATGGAAAAGTTGGCTCAAATTTATATAAACGAAATCATCGCTAGGCATGGACTACCTATTTCCATTCTATCGGATAGAGACAGTCGTTTTACGTCAAGGTTTTGGCAGTCACTCCAGCAAGGGATGGTACACGGCTGGATCTAAGCACTTCTTATAATCCCCAGACTGATGGACAAATCGAAAGAACTATCCAGACCCTGGAAGATATGTTGCGCGCCTGTGTTATAGATTTTGGTGGAAGCTGGGACACGCATCTTCCGTTAGTGGAATTTGCCTACAACAACAGCTACCATACCAGCATCCAGTGTGCGCCTTATGAAGCTTTATATGGGCGCAAGTGCAGATCCCCATTGTGTTGGTCAGAAATTGACGATAGACAGTTAACTGGACCTGACGTTATCCAAGAAACTACTGATAAGATTATAACAATCAAAAAATCGACTCAGGGCTGCAAGGGATCGTCAGAAAAGCTATGCCGACAATCGGAGGAGACCATTGGAATTCCAAAAAGGTGATAAAGTTTTTCTAAAGGTCTCACCGTGGAAAGGAGTGATGCGTTTTGGAAAGAGAGGCAAGTTGGGTCCTCGATACATTGGTCCCTTCGAAATAATAGAAAGCATTGGACCAGTGGCATACAAGTTAAATTTACCCCCAGAGTTAAGCGCTATCCATAGCACATTCCATATATCAAATCTCAAGAAATGCTTAATGGACGAAACTCAAGTGGTGCCACTGGGGGACGTGCAAATTAGCGATCAACTGCATTTCGAGGAAAAACCCATAGAAATTATTGATAGAGAAGTTAAGCAGTTGAGGCGTAGTAGGATCCCTATAGTAAAAGTTCATTTGAACTCAAAGTGTGGGCTGGAGTACACGTGGAGGGAAGACTTCATGAAAAGCAAGTATCCCCACTTGTTCTCAAAGCCAACGATGATTTGAATTTGACGATTAAATTTCGGGACGAAATTTTTCTGGCTTGGGGAGACTGTGACAATCTTGCATTTTGGGATTTCTGGTTAGTACCTTATTTCAGGATCTTTTACTGCTTTTGTATATTTTATGGGGGAAAAGCATGAGATTGAGCAAACTTTGCATGTTTATGTTTTAAGAAATTTTGGGACTAAAGAACTGTTTAGTCGATGCTTTGCTCAAAACTTTTGGACTAAGGAACTGCTTAGTCAAGCTCTGTTGAAACCTCTGGACTAAGGAACTGCTTAGTCGGGTTATTATGTTTTGTTTTGATAACTGTTATTGCACTTAGAATAAATGCTAAATTGATGTGCTTGGGAGTATATGTCTCCAAATAAAAGTTCCCGTCCGTAAACGCTACTTGTTAACTCGGGTACATCCCCGGGCCGTGGTATTCTGGATAGCCGCTATTGTGTAGACAGTCCCACCCAGAAAGGGGTGCACAATTACCTACGTTTTTCTAGTCTAATCATGTGGAATTTGGACCACCACTGAATTAGTACTCAATCGAACTGTGGGACCTAAGTAGTGAACGGGCTACTTCTGGTTGTTCGAAAATTAATGGAGCATTTTGGTCAGGTAAGGCTCAGTAGCGTCTCAAGTTTTACATCGTGAGAGATTTACATTTATTAAGTGCAAATTGAAACGTTTTATGCATATGAAAACCCGTGAACTCACCAACTCTTTGTAGTTGACCATGTTTTATTTCCATGCTTTTCAGGATCTAGTTAAAGTTGTTTGGGCTTTTTGGGAGCATACTCGAGCCAGGATCGATTAAGTCAGAATTTGATGTATTTTGGGAACATTGTGTAAATTCTAATTTTAGTTATGTCGATGAACTTGTTTTGTTTTTGAACAACTTGGTATGGCGTTATTTATAAATTGTTGCTACGACTCGCTTGCCTGTTACATCTCGTGTTTCCGCTTTAGCGGGGTGTGACACTTACAACTCCTCAAAAACAACCAAAACGTTTTTCCCACTATGTGGTTTATAGAGGAACAAAAATTGGAATTTTCAATAACTGGGAAACAATGAGATTTATATACAGTGTCCCAACCCAGTATTCAAAGGCTATTACAGTTTTTCTGAAGCCATGAATAGAGCCCGAAGAAGTAAAAACTTTTTTAGATATGGCAAAAACAAATCCTGAGCAAATGATTAAAGCTCAAGAAGAAGTTATTGAAGAAAGAATTTTCTCTCTATATCCATGAGTTACTAAACCTCTTCCTATCTATCTCTCTAACTTAGTTTCATACTCTTAAAACTTCTTTTGCACATCTTCATATCATATCCCTTACCTATAAAAAATATTATAACAAAGTATAATATAGCATAAACAAAATCATAAAACAAAGTATACTTACAGAGATGGTACAGACTTTTGAAGGATTTGAAGGAAAGGAGAGTATGTGCAGCGGAGGTTTTTTTTTTTTTTTTTATAGGTAAGGGATATGATATGAAGATGTGCAAAGGAAGTTTTAAGAGTATGAAACTAAGTTAGAGAGATAGATAGGAAGAGGTTTAGCAACTCAAATAAATGGGAGTAATTGAGGTACGATGAGTCCATTTTGTGTTAGTGGATATAATGTGCCCATTTCTCCTTAATAAGTCCATTTGGGTCGAAACGACACTTACTAGGTCATAATTAGTCTCATTAGCTCCTAAGCGGTTTAATTGGCCTATTTTCTTCATAAGGAGCCTAATTG